AAACCAAACCAAACACAAACTTTTTCAAGCAAAACTTGTTAATTGCACTTCACACGTTCTGTAGATACCACGTGTTTGAAGGTTATGTCAATACAAGTCAATGCCAAGCAAGATTTTAAATGAAGGTTAAAAATGACATTAATTATTACTAGACCCGATATTGCAATTTATGATCTTGAACTATGAGTCCAGGCTGCCCGGCTTCAAATCCTGGCTCTGCCTGGGTAACTTTGGGCAGATTGTTTGACCTCTCTCTGCCTCAGTTTCCTCATTTATAAAGTAAGGATAACAATAGAAACTACCTCAAAGGGTTGTGTGATGATTAAATGAGTTAATACAGGTAATAGGCTCAGAATAGTTGCTGGCATTTACTAAGCACCAGTAGCTACTATAAAGATAAATTGTAAAAGTTTCATTTTAATGGGAGTAGTGGTAGATAAAAACAAAGCGATCTGACCAGAGTATAAATAATACTAGCTAGGAATTAGAACTGGGTGCTTTAGTGACTACCACACTTGCCCCAAAGTCTCACAGCAGGATAAAGAGATCTGGATGAAATAACGTGTGCTTCCTACATGAAGTCTTTCCCAAATTAATTGTTCCTTCTTGGGCATTCCTGATGCCACTGACTTGTATTTTCTTTTTTTAATTATCTTTTTCAAAACATTGAATTTATTGGTGTGACATAGGTTAATAAAATCATACAAGTTTTCAAGTGTACAATTCCATAACACATCATCTATATACTTCATCATGCACTCACCACCCAAAGTCAGGTCTCTTTCTGCCACTGTTTAATCTCCTCTTTGACCTCTTCCCCCTTTAGCAATCACCCTACTGCGCGCTGTATGGGGGTTTTCCTCCAACCGCCCTCCCCTCTGACTGCTGTCCTTCTGTTTCCTGTTTTCATCATGATACTTATCACACTAGGTCTTGTACTATAGTTTCTCATATGCTTTTTCTACAACCAGATAAGATCTTGGTGTCAGAGACACTGGTTTACTCACTCTTAAAATACCATCTAGCATTGTGACTTGAATGTGATAGGCATGTAATAACTGTTTATGATAAAAGGGCTCTGACAAGTATAGCTTGCCAAATAAACAGAATTGGTATTATTACTATTATTGTTATTATAACTACTACTGCATGTGACTTTATAGGATGTAATTACATGGGCAGTAGAGTAGGAGGATTGGGTGGGGTCAGGACAGAGAGGACTAGACTCTAGTCACTAGAGCCTTACCCCAGATATATCGTTTTCACCTTCAGTTCCAGGTCACGACAATGAAGCCAAACGTAACCTTGCTTTCAATTTAAAAACACACACAAAAAAAACAAAGCAACATCTGAGGAGTGTAATAAAGCAGAGCACACAAAATGAGGAATGCCTGTATTTACACAAATTCTGGCATCATGTTTCCTTTCGTTTTCTCTCTGCGTTATCGCCTTACATGAAAATGCATTCATTCGATGCATGTGTTTTTCTACCTTATAACTGGGTGAGATGAAAAATAATTTATTATTATGAGGTCTGTAGAAAGCCCTTAGATCCTCATGTGTTATGGAAATAATTAGGCTCTTGTCTAAATTTCAACGACAACTTGGAGAGTTATCTATATACTCATCTATTCTTTAAAAACCTATTTCAATGTTTCTTTGCTATGTGCTCAACACTGTGCTAGGCACTGCACAATGGCAGTGGGATATCACAGTAGTCAAGTCTATTATGTGTGGATAAACAGGAATGTGCATTAAGATGCCAAAAAAAAATAAAAATCAAACGCTGTAGTCTGGGCTGAATCCACATGGAAACACAGTCAGGGACCTTTGATCTCAGTTTAACACATTTGGTGACTTTCTCTTGCAGTAATTGGATCTATCAACTTGAATGGATGTGATGCTCATATTAAGGTATGTCCACTGCACTGATTGAAAATGTACATTTCAAACATGGTACTTATTCTGAGAGGAATGGTACTCTAAGACAACGGTATAAGAAAAGGAGTGGTTGGACCACTAGAAACTGCTGAGAACTGTCATTTTTATGGTTTAACTTGGGCAAGTAACCTAACCTTGTTAGGTCATCTGTAAAACTGGGATAATAATCAGCTGTTCCAAGGTTTCCTTGGAGAATTTAATTTATAAATTCAAGAAGAAACTAGGCTGTTTTGTAATTCTGTGGCTGCAACAATTGGATGGCCATAGATCATTACAGATGTATTATATGTGAAAACTACAAATCAAAATAAGTTTACTTTCTTTCTTAGAAGAACAAGTGGTATATGGATGTTTCTCATCAGCTTATGGTGCTTCAAACATATCTGTAAAGCACGAAGTTTTCAATGAGACATGTAAATATTTTTCATATCTTCTTTGAAAACCTCTGAAACCACCTTGTGTATTTCATTTAAGATGAAAAAAATTAAAATCGAGCAGCTATGTGTGAAATTTCCTTCAAAACACAAAGCCTACAAATTTGCATCAAAATAAAAAAAAATCAAGTCTGCTTAATTAAAACCTTGACACCATCAACCTCTTTTAATTATGTACGTGTTAAAGAGACTGGCATCCTGGAATACCAACTGGGATACCAACTTAAAACCAGTATGCATTTTTCGTGTCTCTGGTGTGTATACATGTGCAATTCACAGAAGGGGTGAAAGAGGAAGGAAAGAAACGATTTAACATTTCTCTAGACACAAATCTTTTTCACACTTTTAAAACAGGAAGAGGGCACACAGTTCTATTTGCAGAATAGAAATTTAGGCCAGAATGTTTTCTCTCTCTTTTAGGTCTAAATTTCAATGCGTTCTTTTTAAGAAACAAAGACTTATTACAATAAGTGCTACTTAGAAAACACCGTGCTAAAGCTCGACTACTGGTTGCTTGGATGCATTCTACAATATATAGACCATATGGGGCAAATGGGGGAGGAACCGGCTGTTTACCCCTCTCCTCTATGGTGTATACATTTCGCACTACAGCGACTGCTTTTCTTTACATGTTAGTTCTTGTTGTCTTCACTAGCCTGCGTCTATTCCCAACTTCTTTTCTAACGTGGAACTCAGCAGCTCTTTGTTCTCATTGTGTCTATCTCTCCTTTCTTTGTGTTGCAGGGATACTGCTACCCGCATCTGCCACTGAGCATGCGGAAAAAAATCCTTCAATAGATTCTTTTAGTTAGGACTTTTCAGTAGTCTTATTCCACTTCTCCAGGTTTTAGTAATAACCAGAGAATCCAGAAGATAAACCGAAACTTGGAAAGGTGATGGGTGATACAGGTGGTTTGGCGGTGGTCTAGCCAGCTGGAAGGAAGGTTCCGGGTAATTATACACACATGCTTATCTAATTTACTGAAGCTCTCACCAAGCAGGTTAAGTACAGAGCACCCACCTCACACAGAAGCTAGAGATACAGTTTGACAACCGAGAAGGCACGAGTGTTTCTGAGCAGGTAGACATAGAGACACCTCTAAGACCAACTGATACAATGTGTTTGTGTGTCCAGAGCCATGCGATTCATGTCACAAAGATTCAAGTCCCCCGAGTCAGCCCTTCTCAAGGTATCAGAGGATGAGAACCAGTTGTGTGCACTTTTCTCAGAATGAAATCTATGACTTCCGTCTGATTGTGTTAGACATTTAAAATGCTAAGTCAACAGTGATTGAAGAACACTGGATTCAATTCTTCTGCTTTAAAGCCTCTCCTTCCTCGTCTTAAAGCAGTTTTGCAGATGTGTTTCCACAAGATGTAAGAAACAGGTGAGTTAGGGGTAGAGTTCTGAGGCTTTCTGTTTTTCTTTTGTCCCCCAGCAAGCCTGACCTTAATAACTTGTAAATTATGTAACAGGTGGAGCTGCTACACAATTTTACTCATGTGTCCGGCGTCACGACTTTCATCTGTTTTAGTCACTGTTTGCACGGCCAATTCTTACCCAGGTGTCAGGCGCAGAGTGGGTGCTGTGTTTTGTTTAATTAATACATATGGTATGGAGAAACGATTGTTTTATTGGGGCAAACTGTGGTGGCAATAAAATAGTTTAAATTAGACTATTCTTGAATAAACTGAAGTGAACATTTGTCTCTTTAGCAGTTGGTCACTTTCCCTCTCTCAGTGAGGGGGATTTCTTCTTTCTCTTTGGCCTCCCCTCTCCCACCATTTTGCTCCTGTATCACCCATTTAGTGCAGTGTTTCCCAAACTTCTCTCATGATGAGAATCACCCGGTGAAGTTGTTAAAATGCAGATTCCTGAATCCCAACTAAGAAGTGCTAAACTAGAATTTTTGGGAACATATAGGTAAAATTGTATGCTTAGAGCACTAGTTAACAACTCCACCAGGTGATTCTCATCATGAGAGAAGTTTGGGAAACATTGATTTAGTGCAGGGGTCTTCAAACTTCTCTCATGATGAGAATCACCTGGTGGAGTTGTTAAAACACAGATTCCCGGATCCCAACTATAAGAAGTGCTATCAGGAATCTGTGTTTTAACAACTCCACCAGGTGATTCTCATCATGAGAGAAGTTTGAAGACCCCTGATTTAGTGGATTGACAGCATCGTTTCAAAGCCTTTCTTGTTCCTTGAATTTACTTTTCGGTGCTTAGGATAACAGGCCCTTGCCTTTTGATTTTCTATGGGTTTCCTTAGCTAGTGGCTAGCAGCCAATGTCGCTAAGCCAACAGTGTTTTTGGAAGGTTAACAAACCTGAGGGAGGGCGCGAGGTGCAGCCTCCCAGGGCTTGCACCTGCAACAGCGGATTCTCTGGGACCCCGCCCCCGGCTCGGGGAGGCTCGCCCCGCGCACTCCTCCCCGGGGCGGGAGGAAGTGCCTCTGGCGGGGAAAGTTCCGTCCAGGTCCAATCAGGCACCTGGGATTAGGTAGCCTGGGCGGCCCCGCCCCTCGGAAGCCTCGCACCCCGGGCCGCTCCTCCACCCCCAGGCCCCGCCCACCGGCGCCCGCGCCCCGCCCCACCCCGGGGCCGCGACTAAAACCCGGAGCCGCGCGGGCGCCTAGGGGACCGGAGGGCCGCTCTGAGCATGTGCAGAGCAGCTCGGCGGCGGCTGCTGCCTCGGCCCGAGCCCGGGGCCCGGTGCTGATGCGAGCATCCCGCTCCGCCTCAGCCGCAGCCCCAGCGCGCTCGGCCCCGCCGGCCGGGGAAGCCAGGAAGGAGCCGTAGCCTCGCCGCGGCCGGAGGGGCCGGCAGGACGGTGCGCGCAGCCCGCCTGAGCCGCGGCGCTCGCGGGGCCCGAGATGATGGCGGAGCAGGTGACCTGCGCCTCGGCGGGGGGCGGCTCCGGCGCGGGCTCCTCCGGGCCGGTGGTGAACGCCGAGCTGGAGGTGAAGAAGCTGCAGGAGCTGGTGCGCAAGCTGGAGAAGCAGAACGAGCAGCTGCGGAGCCGGGCGGCCAGCGCGGCCGCCGCCCCGCACCTGCTGCTGCTGCCGCCGCCGCCGCAGCCCGCCGCGCCGCCCCCCGCCGGGGCCTGCAGCCCGCTGGGCCCCCGGAGCCCCCCGGCCGCCGCCGCCGCCCCCGCCCCGGGGGCCCTGGGGCTCGGGCTGGCGCTGGGCTCCGCTGGCGGTGGGAGCGGCGGGAGCGGCGGCAGCAGCCCCGCTTTCCCGGGGACCTTCTGCCTGCCCAGCCCCGCGCCCTCCCTGCTCTGCAGCCTGGCGCAGCCCCCCGACGCGCCCTTCGTCTACTTCAAGCCGGCCGCGGGCTTCTTCGGCGGCGCGGGCGGCGGCGGGCCGGAGCCGGGGGGCGCGGGGCCGCCGCCGGGGGTGCCCCCTGCGCCGCCCTCCCCGCCCCCCACGCCCCTGGACGAGGTGGAGCCGCTGGACCTGGAGAGCCTGGCAGGCTGGCGCGCCGAGGACGACTACACCTGGTACTGCCGCGCTCCGCTCCCCGCTCCCCGCTCCCCTCCCGGGACCCTGGTCCCCTGGCCGCCGAGGCCCAGGAGGGCGGGGAGGGCGTGGGCTGGGGGAGATCGGCGGGCGGGTTCGCCGGGGCCCCCCAGACTTGGTGGCCTGGCAGGTGCCAAGTTGGGCGCGGAAAGGAGGCTTAACTGGAGGGCGGAAACCTTGCTTCCATCCAGCAGCTCCCGCCCTGCAGAAGGGGATGAGCTGGTCCCTCCCATCTCCTTGCATTCTGCTGCTGCTCTGCTGATTTTGGGGGTCTCAAGCTCCCCGTTTGCGTTCATTGAAAAACCCATGCTGTTTTGTCCTTTTGTTACTCGGCATTGCTCTTTTTCCCAGGTTTTTTTTTTTTTTTTTGTTTGTTTGTTTTTTTTTTGTTTTTTTTGTTTGTAGTGGCGGGGGATGGGTAGGGGTTGGCATCAGCCTGTGACTGTTTCTGTCCTTTCTTCCCACGCCAAGGCTGGATGGGGTTCGCGTGTGGTCCCCCCTCCCGTGGCAGACCAGGCTGCTTAGCTTTGGAGCTCTCCTTAGAGAGGGTTCCTTCCCTCTGCGTTGTGCTGCCTTCCTTCCATCCCCTGCATTTTCATTGATAGCTTCTCATTTCAGAGGCTGACTTTGTGTGTGTGTGTGTGTGTGTGTGTGTGTGTGTGTGTGTGTGTGTTTAAGGTAGTTAGTTTCCTATCCATAATGTTGTAAAAAAAAAATTGGAGGCTTTTTAAAGGATGGAATGGGCAGGACACTTTATTGCCTAGCAACCAAGGAACTTTCTTTAATTTTTGAAATTAAACTGTTGATTGAAGGAAAGTGAGATTCGAGGAACGTATTTTTTTGTCAGAAACTTGAAGTTATCAAAAAATGTGAGGCTGGCAGAACTTATTTTTCAGTTGAAATCTTGTTAGCTCTTTCTGCTTCCCATCAGTGAGGCACTTTGGAGGGGGTCTAATTCTTCCTATCGTTTATTTTTCATGCAACTTACTCATGGAGTAATAATAATGTCCTTTCTTCCGTCACTAGAGGTGGTGGGATGTGGTCAGGTGAGTAGAAGCTTCAGATAGGGAGGAACTTGGGCTCATTCCAGGGAAAGTGAACAGCACTCTCCTCCACACAGCAGTGACATGAAGAAGAGCTGCCATCCCTCTTGTTTCGTGGTTTTGAAGTGTAAGACCCTTCCTGCTTTGGCAAGTTGGGCTGTCCTTGCTTCCTTTGTCTTCCTATTGCATGATTGCACAGGAGGGGCTTGGAAACAGAGAACCTTACTGGTTTCCTTTTGGGAACGGTGCTGCTCCTTTTCCCTTAACTCTTCTGTAAAGTGCACTCACTAGTAATTGGTTTGCCTCTGAGAACCAAAATGCATGGAGCACATTCATATGTAAGGCATTCATCCTCCTTGTCAGTACTTTACTCTTTGGTGGTAACTCAAGTTGTAAAGATCAAGACAACTTACTACTTTCTGAAACTTCAAGCCATTCTTTTTAGAAGCTGCACCTTTATTTTTGTGGAACCCAAGTGTATTGCAACTCAGTTTCAGCCTGAATATGGTACTGGAAAATGCTCTGTTGGTGGTTCTTAGGTTATCACTAACTATAAGACCTTATACCACTCTCATATTATTTTGGCTTTAGTCCCCATTTGACCTTTTCTGGAGATATGTACTGAAGTCATGGAAATGAACTTGTTTGCATTTCTTGATGGGGATTAATTGTGTGCCTTCAAATATTAGCATTTAAAAATTATGATGATGCTAGTACTATTTTATAAGTATGTTAGATTGATGATAGTGTATACATAGCTAATATGCTTTTAATATTTTCTCTTTTGAATGGATTTCTATCATCATTAATTATCATCCAACTATTGCTAGTATTTGATATCTAGTCTTTCCTTTTGTAGTTTATTTTTCAATCAAAATAGCATTGAAATAACTTGACAAAATAATCAGGCGAATCCACCTAAGTAGATATCAGCACTTTAGATGGTTTAGAGCACATGTGTCAAACACAAGGCCCGCGGGCCAAATCCGTCCCGCCAGGCCTTGCAATGTGGCCCGCACCGCGCTGTCATCACTGCACTCCGCTGCGTTTCCATCACAATGACAGTTTATGACTGTTCAGTAAACCATTCGGCCCGCGATTTAGGCTGGATTTTAGATTTTGGCCCCTTCTCTGATTGAGTTCGACACCCCTAGTTTAGAGTGAATTTAAACTGTAGTAGGTTCTACTAATTTACTCCTCAAGCATATAGGTGAGTAGGTAAATCTTGCCTTGACACTACAAATGTTTTTACAGACAAATGGCAAAGTACTCTATAAATACTGTATCTTCCTCAAAACAACCCCAGGAATAGAATCCCAGGTGGAAAAACAGGGAGGGATCATTAATCTTATTGGTATGGATGTAACATTTTTTTTTTTAAGGTCACCTGATTTACAGGAAACTTTCTATCACAGCATTTTATGCACTGAGATATTTTTGTATTGCAATATTTGTGCCTTTTGATGAATAAATAGTCACCAGGGTTTAACCCATTTGTTAATGCTTGCAAAGCTCTCTAAAGTTCCAACATCACTGCAAACTGTATTTCCCTGTTTTGTGGTCTCTTTTCCAAACAGTTATTTAACCTATCCGTATTTTCTATCTATAACAAAGCAACACAATTTTAATTTAAGAAGAATGATGTGTTTTGCTTTTTCATTTTGATGAAAAGTTTCGAAACAAAACAGTTGGCTTATTTCTTCAAATACTTACCTCAGTCAAATTTAAAATATTTAATTTCACCATAACATCACCTAGTTATCTTAGCACAGTGCTGCTAGAATGAAATGTCTCAGAAAAGTTGACTGTGGTTCCAGAACCTTAATTCTTAAGTCCAGTTATTATAGTCCCATACCATAGTGTGTCGGCTCCCTTATTTCACTGTTAAGGAACTGAAGTTCTTAAATGAAATGACTTATGTAAGCTCTTGCAGTTATGTACCAAAATAATTAAGACCAAAATACAGATTGTTTTCACAGATTCAGAAGTGTTTATACCATTGAGAATTTCCCTCAGCTTTGATGTGACCCATTAGTGGGCTATAAAGTCAGTGTAGTGGATTGTCAGCATTTTTTTTTTTAATGAAGTGCAGTAGAATATAAAATCAGTGTATTCTATCTTACAATACAAACTTGTCTTGAGTAAACTTATTTTAGTTTTACATGTGTGTTACCTGGGTTGAAATAGTAAATGTATTTGTGCATTGTGGTCAGAGTTAAAAAAAAACACCCCAAATTGTACTGTTTGAAAGCAAAATGAACTTGGTGAAAACAGGTGGGAAAGCAAGAGTAAACACTGGGGAAAGTCAGTTCTTGTACACCTCAACCGGGAAGATAAGTCTGTATTCAGAAAATGCCAAGATAAAAACATGCCAGCTAATACATACAGTGTTTTATGTATTGCATAAAACAAGGCTTTTATTTTAGTGGAGTGGTAATTAGCAGAATAGGGATGTGGCAGGGATTTTAACCTTGTCCAACTGGAAGGGACAGGAGGAAAGTTCAGAATTCTAGAAGGAAAAAAGGTTATGTGTACAGAATAAAGAAAAAGTAATGAATGAATATTCATCTTCCAAGTGTAACACCAAGACCTCAGACAGCTGGCTAAAATCCTTGCCAATTTTCCATCAAAGCTGTTGAATGCCTTGTACTGTACATATGGCACAGCTAAATTAGACCACCTAAACTATTTTTTTCTCCCCATAATTGATTTTCAGTGAAAAGACCAGAGGGTGCTTCACTTTCTGACAATGGTAATTGAAAACAGCAGTGTTTTCTAGGAGCCAAAAGGAGTTGACTGAAATATGTGCTGATGTGTCTTTAAAATGAGTAACTTCGAAATACTTCAAGGAGACACTGAAATAGAAGTTTAGACTTAACTGTGGATGGAGAGGAGAGAGTCTGCTGTAGGACAGTTGAGTAACTAAAATTTAGATGTCATATATCCTTGTATAGCTTAGTGTGGTAGTACCTTTCTTTTGCAATGGCTGATCAGTTTGACCCTAGCCAGGTGCTTGTTCATTAAACACTGTTTAATTTGTCTAGGGATTGATTGATTTTGCTTATTGATGTTTTAGCTTTCCTTAAAACTTGTGATTGAAGTCTCTTAAAAATTACTGAGAAAATTGCTACATTTATTTTTTTAGAGACAGGTGTGTGTGTGTGGGAGGGAGGGAGGGAGGGAGGGGGAGAGAGAGAGAGAGAGAGAGAGAGAGAGGGAGAATATACAGATACAGCTATAGATTGATATAGGTAGATAGTTAGATAGATAATTGCTTTACCATTTGCTTTTGTATTATCTGGAGAAAGATAATTTTAGGACCAAAACATTTACTTCAGAATAATAGAGATTTTTTTTTCTGGGCAGTAATAATACTTTATTTGAAGCATTATAATGGGCTTTGTGTTACTTCTGACCTCCTAGAGTTAGCACATGAATTAAGTCTAGGGTCATATATGTAAAAGAAGATAGTATATAAGAAGGTTCAGTTTCTAGCCATGTGCTTTTGGAAGTTATTGAAGTAAAGTTCAAGAAAATCAGAGTGGGACATTTCAAATATTCTTGCCAGACTCAATTATACCATCAATTAAACAATAGAAATTGAAAGAGTAGTTTCAACTAGGGAGGTATGTTGTGTTAATGATGGCAAAATAGGGCATTGTAAATGTAGCTGGAATCGCAATGACAATGAATGAGGCAATTTTTTAAATGACTTTTTAGAAGATTAGACCAGTTAGGAGAAATTCAAGTTTTTCTTTGTTTACCCAATTTTAGAAATATATAGTACTCAAGGAGTTTGTAGCTATAGGATCTAACTGCCATTTTTCTTCTTTATTAAATTCAGCTGTAGTCCCAGCTGTAGAAAGAGTAGGCTTGAGGCTATCTGGGCTACATTGGTTGGAGACTAACTCTGAAAATAATCACTTGTTTTAATTCCA